AGTTTTTATTGATTTTAATGGTTTTGAATAGCAAGATATTTCCACAAATATTTGGTGCCAAACCTAAGTCAGTTTTAACTATACATTTCTCCATCGTCTTTGTCTTGGATTTACTCATCCTGTTCACCACTTTTTTACGCTTATCTTAAAACATATGCTAAACGTTTCTTGAAACAAAACAAAAATACCTTATCCAATTTAAACTCTTCGCAATTATCCAATTTCCAAAATATAGAAATGATTCATAGACTTTGTTCTTTGGATAACATGAATGTTTATTACGTTTTTATTAGGTGGGATGTGGGAAAGAGGTTAGTGTGCCCATTCGTGAGTTTATGGTTCGCGTTTCGTTTCTGCAAAAAAATCACTCCCATCTGAGGCTGCAGATGCACTATGAGAGTAATTAAGAACAGTTCTAAATATAAATCTCCTTTGTAGTTTTGCAAAAAAAATCATATCCCCCCAAGTGGCTCAGCCGTAAGTCTGCAGACTTATAAGGCTAACAATCGGGTTTCGATAGCCGTGGTGGGCACAGCACAGGTAGCTCATTGTGTAGCTTTGTGCTTAACAAGAAGCAAACTAGTTAATCAATTAACTTAAAAAACAGATGTCAATGTTGCCCGATCGTTATGGGAACATTTAAATCTGTAACCTGCCATAACCTACGTGAAAGTGGAGTCTTGTATTAAAGTAAAGACGATCTAAAGGAAACAATTCCTCTTCAGGACTGATATGGATTCCAGCTTAAGGACGATGCCACAGTTATGAAATTCCCTCCTCAAAATTCAAAATGTATATATTTTGTCCAATAGAAAACTAATCGGAAAGTTCAAAAATATATATTTCCTTAAACAAAAAATAAACGAGCTTCTATACTTCAAAAGTAACGTTTATTAAGGTTTTAAACTTTTATCATGACGTATGAGTGATTTATGAGAGAAGAAAACCTATTTGATTAAGCTGTGGTTAAATTAGGCAACGTTTCTTCCGAAGTTAACTCAGACATTATTCTAATTCTTCCCCTGGTGAGATGGGGGTAAGTTCAGGGACTCAAAACGCTAAAATCCAGAGTTCGATTCCCACGGCTGACACAGTACATAGCCCAATGTGGCTTTGCGCTAAAACAAACAAGCAAATAAGCATCATTCTAATTTGAGATAAGACTAGTGATAAGAAGTGATATTTTCCTATAGACAATTTAATGTTCTTCACTGAATTCGTATCCACTTTCTGATTTCTTATCACAGCGCTGTTTATTTAGCTAAAAAATTGAAATATAGAAAAAAAAAAAAAGTTTTTTAAACAAATTGTTTCATTAGAATCTTATGCACAGGATTTCCATACCTGTGGTGGATACAGCACATATGATCCATTGTGTAGTTTTATACATAAGAGCAAACAAACAAACCCACTGTGGATGTTGTAGAGAGGGAAGTTTAGTGAATTGCTCCTGATTTGGATGTTCTAGTGGATAACGTTTCGAACTAAAAAAGTTTTAATATAAGGTTTCAAACGTCGTCTACTACACGTTCTAAAACAGTGGCAGTTCTTTGCATTTTCAGCTCTGTATTATCAAAACTCAACAAGTCACAACCTGAACATGTCTGCCTTGTATATCGATATTTCAGAGCGCCATCTATTTTCCAATATATTTTCAAATTGTTATTTGTTTGCAATCTAAAATTTTAAACACACTAAATGTACCACCATTGATACAGATATGTTTGGGTTTCATGAAGATTTTACTAGATTTTCTGCTCGAGAGAAAGAACTAAATTAACAAGTCATGTTCGAGTGTTTAAAAAAAGTCGATACGAGTAGAACATCTACTCGACTATCTACGAGCTGGCGTTATACGTCACACTCACTCATCCGTAACGCTACGTTGGTTTATGAATTCTTTACAAGAACAGGATCGGAGTGAATTGCAGCAGAAAAACGAATGGCGACCAACAGTTTGCGTAAGGCCTTTTATATATCATTGTAAAACGCAGGATGTAAATCAAACCTCAGTTGAATTTCTAACAGGCAGAAAGGTGTGTTGCAGCATGCTTTCACTTTGTTTTACCACGATAAGTCAAACTGTAATCTCTAACAGTAGATAGCTGTG